TGGCGCTTAGGTCATCCATCTAAATTTATTCTTCCCCACCTACAAAATTTTCATTCTGAAATTTCTATTCCTAATAATCATGTTTGCACCATTTGCCCTTTGGCTAAACATTGTAGACTTTCTTTTCCCTCCAGTACTATTTCAACGAATGCTTGTTTCAATTTAATTCATTGTGATGTGTGGGGTCCTTATTCTATTCCTGCTCTTTCTAGTGCTAAATATTTTTTAACCATAGTTGATGATTATTCTCGTAGTACTTGGCTTTATTTAATGCAACATAAATCTGAAGTCAATACCTATCTACCTCGTTTTTTTGCTATGATTAAAACACAGTTTAATCTTCCTATTCGCCAAGTTCGTACCGATAATGGAACTGAATTTTTTAATCACACCATCAAACAATTTTTTTCTTCACTTGGTGTCATTCATCAACATAGTTGTGTGGGAACACCGCAACAAAATGGCGTTGTCGAGCGCAAACATCGCCATCTTTTAAACATTGCTCGATCTCTTCGTTTCCAATCGAACTTACCTTTATCTTTTTGGGGAGATTGTGTTCTTACTGCTACATATTTAATTAATCGTTTGCCCACAAAAATTTTACACGGAAAAACCCCTTATGATGTTCTGTTTGGCAAGTCACCATCTTATGCACATTTACGTATATTTGGTTGCCTTTGTTATGGGCATAATCCTTCCCCTCACTCAAAGTTTGATAAACGAGCCACACCAGGCATTTTTATTGGTTATCCACCTTCTCAAAAGGCTTACAAAATTTATGATCTTCACACTAAAAAGGTTTATACTTCACGTGATGTCACTTTCTATGAAACTGTATTTCCTTACAATTTATCCCACACAAATACCATGCCTAGCGTCTTACCTCTTCCTGTACCAGAATTTGAGCCTTCTGACCTTGCTCCCGCTTCCGCACCTACACAATCCCTTAACCCCATTATAGAGACCACACCTTCTCCATCTCAAGTTCCCACCCATTCCTCCCCAATATCACATACTTCTTCTCTGCCTCCTATTCCGTCATCTTCTCCTCCATCTTTATCAACACCGTCTAACTCTACTCCACTTCCTCCTCGCCATCGAAAGCCACCAGGTTATCTTAGTGACTACCACTGCTACCAATCTCAAGTTGATCTTCCCTCTTCAACTCCGGTTCAGCATGGCACCAGGTACCCTTTATCCCATTATTTATCTTATGACAAATTCTCTATTAAACATCAAAGTTTTCTTGCTTATATTACTACCATTGTTGAGCCTAACACTTTTGATGAAGCCACTAAATATCCTAAATGGCGTAAAGCTATGCAAAGTGAACTTGCTGCCTTGGAAGCTAATAAAAAAGCCATTGGCTGCAAGTGGGTCTATAAAATAAAACGGCATTCTGATGGCACTATTGAACGATGCAAAGCTCGCCTCGTTGCCAAGGGATATAAGCAAATGGAAGGGATTGATTATCATGAAACTTTTTCTCCTGTTGCCAAGCTTACCACTGTTCGTGTTTTATTATCTTTGGCCGCTGCCAAGGGTTGGTGTCTTCAACAATTAGACGTCAACAATGCCTTTCTTCATGGTGATTTACACGAAGAGGTTTACATGCAGCTCCCTCAAGGTTATCACGGCAAAGGGGGAAATATGGTGTGCCGTCTTAACAAATCACTTTATGGATTAAAGTAAGCTTCTTGGTGTTGGTTTGCAAAATTTTCCAAAGCTTTACTTGATGCGGGGTTTTCTCAATCTAAAGCAGATTACTCCCTTTTCTATCGTCACAAAGGGAAGTCATCAATTTTCTTGCTTGTATATGTTGACGATATTATTATTACAGGTACCGATGCTGCTACTATATCAATTATCAAGAATTTGTTGCATCAACGTTTTCATTTAAAAGACCTTGGTGATTTAAAATACTTCCTTGGGATAGAAGTGTCTCGTTCTTCAAAGGGATTGTATTTGAGCCAACGGAAGTATGCACTTGACATTTTGAAAGACTCAGGTCTTATAGGTGCACGTCCTACTTTCTTCCCCATGGAACAAAATCTCAAGTTAAGCAATGAAGATGGAGAACTATTACATAATCCAGAAACCTATAGAAGATTGGTGGGTCGCTTGATATATCTCACCATCACCAAGCCAGACATTGTTCATTACAGTTCATATTTTGAGCCAATTCATGCAAAGCCCCCATACAACTCATAAAGATGCTGCAAATCGATTATTACATTATTTGAAAGGGACTCCAGGCCAAGGGATTCTGTTATCATCTTCTAATAATTTTCAATTGAGAGCCTACTGTGATTCTAATTGGGCTAGCTGTCCAATGACAAGGAGGTCGACTACAGGTTACTTTGTACTTCTTGGAGAAAGTCCTATCTCATGGAAAACAAAGAAGCAAGATACTGTATCACGCTCATCAGCCGAAGCAGAATATAGAGCGATGGCTATGGCAACTTGTGAACTCCAATGGTTACGATATTTAGTTTATGATCTTGGTCTGTCACACACCACACCAAGCTTACTTTATTGTGACAACCAAGCTGCTTTATACATAGCAGCTAATCCAGTATATCACGAGCGCACCAAGCATATTGAGATCGATTGTCATGTTGTTCGAGAGAAGATTCGAAATGGTTCTTTACGTACTGCCTATATTCCTTCAAAGGAGCAACTCGCAGATGTCTTCACCAAGTCTTTAGGTAAAGATCAATTCCAACGACTCAAAAACAAGCTGGGTATTCTTGATCTCCATACTCCAGCTTGAGGGGGAATATTGAAGATATGGAAAGATTACAAAATATATTGTACATTATTTGTTACCTTGTATAGGAATAGTCAACTTCTCTGTTAAGGCTTGTACAAATTAGTGCCTTTAACTTAGGATTTAAATTACCTTCCTTAGGTAGTCTTATTGGCTTTATATATTGGCCTTCTTCTGTATTGCAAATACTTCTTCTGTATTTTCTGTATTGCAAACACACAAAATATACGAGATATTATTTTACATATGCAAAATTGACAAGTATGACCATTGATTAGGTCTCTTAGTATATGTATATAAATTTTATGAAAATCCGATGGTACGAGAGTGAATTTATTAAAAGGTTAAAGAAGTACCCTCATTTTATTTAGTATATAATTCTTTTTCTTTTTTGATAAAAGGCAATTGAAGTTTATTAGATCAAGGACAAAAAGAGTATAAAGAAAAAAGACTGTAAAGGGAGTCATTCCAATAGCAGTACGGTGGACATGTGCAAAACTTTCCTCAATGACATAAGTCAACTAAAAAGTTGAAACAATATGAAGAGAATCACTCGAATCAAATCATTACAGTCCAATTCAGTATTAAGTTCTTTGATCTTTTTTATTGATCAAAACTTAAAAAACCGAACATTATAATTCCGAATAGATTCGATTCGGCTGAATTGATGCACCACAAGATAGAATGGTCTTGAGGGTTGGTAAATCTTGAATACCCAATTATGTGCATTGGTGGATTCATCATAGCATACATATATAATGTAGAATCCTTCTGTTCAATGTTGATAATGCATATAATAATAATTATATTAACAATAGTAACAAAAATGTCTTCCTAATATTTGCAACGTCACACTAGTACCATTCTATTTCGATATGTACCATATACTATGGATATCATAATTCAGAAAAGCAATGCCCCAAGACCATCAATCACCTTGATTCACTGGATTCATCTTGAACTTCTTGAACTGAAATGCAGGATGAATCCTTCTGTTCAATGCTGATAATGCATATAATAATAATAATATTAACAATAGTAACAAAAATGTCTTCCTAATATTTGCAACGTCACACTAGTACCATTCTATTTCGATATGTACCATATATTATGGATATCATAATTCAGAAAAGCAATGCCCCAAGACCATCAATCACCTTGATTCACTGGATTCATCTTGAACTTCTTGAACTGAAATGCAGGATGAACTCTATGGACAATGCAGTCTGTCACAATCTTCCTGGCTAACCTCATTCCTTCGGTCGGACCCGTAGCAGCAATAGAAAGGTCCTCCTATTCATTTACAAGTATTCTCACTTCACTGGGAAGACCTAAAGAACAAATATGGCCATCTAAAACACAAAGGAAGGAATAGTAACACCTACGTGGAGATAAAGATCACAGCCTGTCAATTGTGAAAGCTCCTGCCTCTCAATTATAGTGTCAAGAATTAGATGAACAGATCAGCTGGCAAACAGATTTCATAACCATGTAACAAACATAATGATGTATCTATTTATTCTGTTATTATTCTATTGAGTGCAAGATCAGTGAAACGTGATTTAGATCACTTTACGCACCTCTAGAGGAGAGCCGATGAGAAGTTTCCGCCGTTTTTCGTATTGCTCCTGCACACAATACTAGAGATTAGTTTAGTCGGGGAGATGAGTTTTTGCATCCCTCCAACAAAATGCTCCTGCACAGCACCCAGAGATGATAAAGAAGGAGGGGGAAGGAAATAGGATCGTGTCACCTTATTGATGCCAAATTTTGTGCAAAGCCCAATAGGTCCATGTCCAATCCTCAAGAGCTGATGACGCCCCTTAAGTGTTGTTAGTGCCTGAATAATTCAAAATGTTGTGCACCTCAGATACTAATACACAAATAGCTCACATAAAAAATCAGAATATATACTTGGAGTTTCAAAGAAAATCAACATACATTTTTACATTAATTAAAGGTAAATAATTTTAACATGAGCTTTTCATTAAGATGTAATCATTTTAACAGAAAACTAAATTATATATGTGTGTGCGTGTGCGTGCGCACTCGGGTGTGTGATTAAAAGAGAAGAAAACAATAACAAATTAAAGGATCTGTAGCTCCTTATCTGCAGGAACACCTCTCGACAGAAGTAGCATCTCCTAGCCTTGAGAATCATGTATGGGATTCTAGTCTTACTGGTGGTAGAAACTGTGATGAGGCCCTCAACCTGACCATACATATATAATTAGAAATAAATACAGAAATCTAATTAATATGTGCATCAAATCAAACATAATTTCAATAATAAACCACTGATCAATCTAATTAATTCGTATCTACAAGCTCAAAACAGGATTATAATTACCAGATTCAGTGTGCATGAAAGACCAAACTTTTCTAAAACCGATTTCACCTTGGCCCAATCTCCTTGCAATTCTGGTGCTGCACAAAAATAATCATAATAATAATAATAGCAATAATTCAAAACTTGCAAAAATTGCAGAGGAGGAAGTTACCTTTGGTTTCATGAAAGGGCATAGAGAAAGAACCTTCAACCCAGTGGCGTAGTTAGAAATTCTCTTAAGGAGGGTCCACATTATTAGCCTGAGAAAACCGTGAATATTAACATAATATTTTTTTTAATTGTATAATTTAATTGTTATCTTCCAAAATCATAACCCGCATCGCCGAATCATATCATAATACATTGCTCAAAAGAGAATTGAATAGCTAGTATTGAGAGATTTACTTGACTGATGGCCGATTCAATAACAAAAACTATAAGATAACTCAATAAATGAAAGAATAGAAAGATTGAAGTTAAAAAGGTAAAATGGAGTAAAGATAAATATAGGAAAAACTATATAAGTAAAGAATAACAATCAACTAGAGTTAGAAAATTAGAAGGGTCATCTATAAAAGAAACCCAAGAAAATCAAATATATCACATAACAAATGCATTTGTTGCATAAATTGGAGGAGGGTCAGCTGACCCTCATGGGCCTTAGCTGGCTCCGCCATTACATTTTTTTGGCATTGAGCACGCTACCTTTTTTTTAAATTTTTTTTAATTTTTAATAATGAAAATGGTGTTGGAAGTTTGAAAGCAAATGTAGTCCCACATTGGAGAAACCAAAAAATTTCTCATGCTTTATAAGCTTGAAACTTTAACATCAATTAAAGGGGAATGCTAGCAACCTTCTCTTAGACCTTCTCTTTTGGACCTTCTCTCTTTCCCTTATGACATGTGTCATTTTCTTTACACTAAAAACAATGCCAAACAACTTACCTTTTGTTTTCCATATTTACCCTTATTTGATGTATTGACTTTACTTTAATTTATTAAATTTTTTACAGCTTTCTTAATACTTTGTAAAAAATTATTATATTAATTTATTAAATATTTAAAAAATCAAAATAAATGAAAAACCTATCTCCAGTCTTCCCCACCTTCTTCCCCAAAGCCCAGCACCTCCATCTTGCCAAACATAGAGTCGAAGTTGAAAGCCACATCCTCACCACGGCTCTCCGATTTGGTCGAATACCTCGCCTAGCCGCCGAAGATATCGCCAAAGTCTTGGGTTTTTGAGGGTCCGAAGATCGAATCGCGATCGTCGGCGAGAGACCCACTGAAGGAATTGGTGGCGCGAGTTGATCGGGAGGGCCCACTAGATCCGAGATCAAAGTTTGGGGCCTTTGAAGAATTAGCTGAAGAAGCAGACATGGGGGCCGATTTGCCTGAGGGTTTGAACTCGAAATCGGAGGCCAAGAGACCCTCGAAGTCGTTCATGGCGTTTGGCCCTTCTGGGTCTCCCTCTCTTCCCCCTTATTTTTGTTGTGTTATTGGTTTTTGGCTGTACAAAACAAAATGAAGGATCTCAAACGAGCGTGATCATGTTGAAGACGAGGAAAGGTTGTTTGGGATCTGAGAAAATATTGAGAAAGAAAGAACGGGTGAGATAGGTTTTTTTATTTATTTTGATTTTTTTAAATATTTAATAAATTAATATAATAATTTTTTACAAAGTATTAAGAAAGCTGTAAAAAATTTAATAAATTAAAGTAAAGTCAATACATCAAATAAGGGTAAATATGGAAAATAAAAGGTAAGTTGTTTGGCATTGTTTTTAGTGTAAAGAAAATGACACATGTCATAAGGGAAAGAGAGAAGGTCCAAAAGAGAAGGTCCAAGAGAAGGTTGCTAGCATTCCCCTCAATTAAATAAGAATTGGTGGTTGATGGGCTTGGATAGTTGGTTTGCTTGATTAATAATAATATTTAATTAATCAAGACTTGGGCCTTGGGCCTTGAGGGGCACTGAGAGGAGGCGGAATTCTGTCTTTAGGACATTGCGAAATACACAAGCCTCTGTTGATTTTGTAGTTTGCTGCTGTCTACAATATTGAATAATATATTATCATTGTCATCTTATATTATAAGTCGTTTACTGATTTTCCTAACAAATTGAGCATGCCTTTTTAGGTTGTCTTTATACGAAGTAATTTTATTAGTGAAAACATGCAGAGACATGGCAGCTGCTGCCTTTGAATTCCAAACCACACTTACGAGATATTAACTACAAATTGTAATGAACCTTAGGAAAATCAAACTGAAATTATACTGAAATTTCCCTTGAAAATAATATTTCTAAAATCTTACAATTTGTGCTGAATAGAGGTGGACAGAAAAAAATCAAGCTGGGGAGATAAAGTTGGGTATGGAATACAATCATACCAAAAGTGGAGAAAGCAAATGACTAAACATTGTCAACCCTGCCATCAAATTTTAATTACGTGATGCCAGGTTCTTGAAAGGTTAGGTTAAGGTTAGTTTGGGAGAAGATCCGAGACCCTGTAGACAATGTGGGTAGTAAATATGGTACAAACAACAACTCTCATTTCAGAAACGCAACGCCCCAAGACCATCTATCACTTGATTCATCATTTTAATCTTCCTAATCTGAGTTGCAGGATGAACTCTATGGACAATGCAATCTGTCAGAATCTTCTTGGCTAACTTTATCCCTTCGTTCGAACCCGTAGCATGCAGCAATAAAGTAGTCTTCCTATTCATTAACAAGTTTACAATAGTTAAATTAACAATCATCAATTCATAATTCTAACTTCACCTGGAGAGGTGGGAAGAGCAGAAGAACAAATATGCCATCAAAATCACAGAGGAAGGAATGGGAACACCTACGTGGAGATAAAGATCACAGCCTGTCAATCGTGAAAGCTCTTGCATGATCTCAATTATAGTGTCAAAAATTAGATGAACATGTAAGAACTCTATTTGAGTTCACATTCGTTTAGGAATCCAACTTGATCAGGGATACAAGGGAGAGATAAGCTGGATATACACGGATAAGTTTGATAGAGTTGGAGCTCTATCTCACTTGTGGAATATCTATTATATTAGGCTATGGACTCTTAAGGTGATAAGGATAAGCCTTGAGGAATCCTTTATGGGCTAGGAACCTCAAGGCACTCACCATATAAAACTAAGGCTTCGGTCCCCACTCTCATGCACTGAAAAACAGACTCACATTCCTACCCATACAGGAGAGAATCAGAGTGCATAGAGAGAGGAAGACCAAGGCTAGTTCGTGGGTTTTGCTGCTGTTGCTGTGCTTGCTCTAATGGCTTCTCAAGGTTAGTGCTTATAGATTACATGTGATATAGAGCTTACATGTGGTATCAGAGCAGTCATATGCATCTATAGGTCTAAAAAGGGGATAAAATTGAGAAGTAAAATTGAGACGCATGCATATTTGTTCTGTGTTGATTTAAATTGTTTCAGGCTTGCATATTAATAAATCAATCTTAGCATACATGAGTCGAAGAAGAAGTACTTTCTGCTCTTTCTTCTCATTCTTATTCCCTCATGTTTTTTTTTTTCTTTTTTCTTCACCTATAAGGTTACCAATAAAATAAGGGCAGAACCAAGAATTTTTCAATGGGTGTGCTAGCTAAAGTTATTAGCTTAAAATCTAATGATTAATTTTTTTTGGTACTTACAGTTTCTATAGTCTTTCTAGAAATAAAAGTAAACATTAAATCATATAAACCACGCTAGTTCATAGCTACATTGACTAATTTCCAATAAACTTTAACATAAAACAAATAGGGTTTAGCACCATAGTGACTTTGTACTTGTTTATGTTCTTCTTATCAATAAAATACTATCTCTCTTTATAAAAATAAAAATAATGCACTGAAAAACACATATGATCAAAATAAAAATATATTCAACAGCATAATTGAAAGTGCATTTTTATTGCTACCCTCCAACTAAATTTATAAAGAATTGGACTTTTTGGGCTTTAATAAGTTAATATATATTGGGCTAATATTTAAAACAAGTAAAATATATAGGTTTGATGTTTTGTCCCTCAAAAACCTTACTAGGCTACAGCCCACTGTAGCCCTTAGTGTGGTTTCGCCCATGAACAAAAGTCTGAAGCTTCGTAAAAAACCTTAGGTGGCTTCTTTCTTCTTGTTGTTCTACGATTGTGCTACTTTTTAAGACAAAAGAAAAATAAAAAAACATGAGTGAAGAAGAAGGAGAAGAAAGTGGTCTGCTACCATGCTGGTGCATTGGGGCAATAGTTTAGGCTTCTGGGTTAGAAACACAAACCCTAAACTACTAAAGTGTTTGACATTTTGCTCCAATGCACTAGCAGCGCAGACCACAAATGCATTGGGTGTTCTATGATTCTGCCACTAAATTGTTAACACTAGCCTAGTGGTCAACTGCCCTCCTGGTGCATTGGGGCAAAATTTCGAACACTTTTGAGGAAACTCATGTGTTGTTTAAATGAAGGTAAAAAAACAAA